TAGCCAGATGTATGAGTTCTTTGTAGATAACAGTGTCCACAGCAGATAGTTTATCCTTATTATTGTCAAAGAAAGATTTTACATCTGGGAGGGATACTTTCATTCTGTCTAACTCTTTTTGATATAAATCAAACATACTTATGGGGGTTTAAAATTATAATTTAATTTTTATAATACTGCTTAGGGAAATTGCTATAAAAGTCAAGAAGGTAGAAAATACAACAATAAATATAATTGTAGTAACTCTGTTTCTACAAAGGATTCGTTTTAAAAAAAAATTTTTTAAAAAAAAATTTAAACATAAATTTGTTCTAAATTTTAACCCCAATATTCAATGAATAAATTAGTAAACAACAACACTATTAACAACGCAACAGATACAAGTAAGATTAAGTCTTACTTCACACAATATGTCATCACGGGTCGTATCCCTAGGGTAAAACACGGCAATAATAATAAACTAATCTTCTCTAAGTGATTATTATTAAAAATTTATTTTATAATAAAAATTTGAGAGTCTACTTTGAGAATAATTTATATTTACAAATTTGAGATTTAATATTTCCTAATTGAACTAAACATTAGTTTGCTTTGTTTAATTTTTTTTAAGACTAATTGATGTTAAATTCATTTAAATAAATCGGTAAAAGAGTATTAAAATTTTTATTAAAATTATAAAGATACATTCTCTATAATAATCCTTATTAGTTTAAACTAGTTTCTATATTCAGATTTTATGTAAAAAAATTAATTCTAACTAAGTTTATTCATTTTTAGTTCTTTAATTTTACTAATTAACATTTCAATGATGTTTGTCAGTCTTTTATTTTTATTTTGTTCTGTTTGAATCTCTAAATCTATTGACTTTGTATTTAACAAATAATCAACTATTTCTATAGCTTGGTTTATTTTGTTATTATTAATATTTCTATCTGATTGATTAATTATGATTTCTTGCTCTCTGATTTTATTAGATAATTCTTTTATAATTTTATCTTTCTCTTCTATTGTCTTTACTAAATCCTCATAAATATCTACTGTCTCTGTTTCATTATGTATTTTAACTTTTTTGTTTTGAAATACATTTTCATTACTAAACTCTACTGTACTTTTCTTATCTTCAATTAAATTAAGTGGATTTAAAACTATGTTAATTTTTCTGTTATCTTCTTTCATTTTTCTTAAAATTTTATTTAAAATACTTTTCTATTTCTATATCATTTTCTATCAATTTAAATATTTC